ACCGTCGGGGCCTCGTCCTCCTTTGTCCTGAGCACTTCCACGAGGTTGTTTTGCACCTTTTTCCTTTCTTCTGACTTGAATACCATGAGAGAAACTGCATCGTCTTCTTTCTAGTCGCTCTCGCTCTCCATGATGCCGTCAGAAGTTTCATTCGAGCCCGCATCGTCCAGCGTGTTGGCGTTCTCACCGTCATTGTCCTCAGTCTCGTTCGAAGAGCAGCCATTTCGGTCAACTCCATCGCTGGGCGTCTCCTCCAGGGACTCAGCCTCCTGGTCATTCTCAATCTGGTCAACCTCACCGGTGTTATATTCCGGGTTGATGGTGAAGTCATCCGTGAAGACGTCTTTCTCTCCATCGCTTCCGCCCTCTTCCATAGCCTCGAGCACATCAACTTCGTGCGACGAAGAAGACGGAGGTGCACACAGGTCGATCAGGTTGAGTTGGTACGACCCGTCCTTCTTCTCATGCAGCTCCGTTGTTACGTGAGCCTGCTTGAAGACGATCCTGTTGTTCTGGAGGTCAATCTGGGGTCCCAATGCCTTGAGGAATCTCTTGGAAATCAACAGTGGCACACCACCAGGGACGACATGGACACGCATGCTCATCCTTCGGCCCTTGATGAACACGGGCAATTGGACCCTCTTGATGGACTTGTCCGCTGAGCCATTGCCATACCTGAACGTGTGAGGAACGTCTTCAAGCTCAGTTATCTCCAAACCATGCCGTCGAAGCTCAGTCTCATGGCGTTGGAGGGTTTCCTCTCCAACCAGGCCGCGGCCGCATCCCGTATCCAGGACACCAAAACCGGTACCATGGACCAATACCGCCAAAGTTTCAGCTGGTTCTTCACTTTCTGACTCTGTCTCCTCACCCACAAGGACGTCGTCGTTCTCTTGGTCCAGCTCGGTCTGCATGGATCGGCTCTGTCTTGAAAATCCTCATGGTCACGCAGGAAAAAGATCGACTGGCCGGTCCACTGATAGTCTTGTCCAGCATGAGCCTGTCCTCTCTGTTGCCAGTTGGTCGTCCGGATGGTAGTGGTCGTCCCATCTTCTTGGATAGTTCTCGTAACTCGGACGTCTAACAGATCTTGAAGTAGCACCGGACATCCGCTCGCTCCAGGGGAGAAAAAAAATTACATACTCTTTGATGATCCGGTTTCCCTCGCAATACCAAAAGTCTCGAGGGACGTATTGCCAGCCTCAGACTAATGCCTCCATCTGTTGTCCAAATAGAGGAGGTCCTGGTGGAGGTTCCATGTGGATAATTTCCTCCGCCGATGTATCATCATCTGAGCTTGGTGGACCAGGCCATCCGGTCGGTTCATTGACCTTAATTCCAATGTTAAAAAAATCATTTGACCATACCGGCCATGCCATGTTCACGTAATTCACTTTGGTTTGCCCACTGGTAGATGGGCAGTTCCTGTTAAAATGGCCAATCTGCTTGCATTTGAAACATCGAACTCTGGCCTCAAGTTTCTTGAAGTCTCGGCCACCTGCGAAACCACGATTGAGCTTCTCCTTCGCGATGCCGACCCTCGTCTGCTTCCAGGATAGGAGGCAGTTTATAGCATCTTGTTCTTCAATCGGTTCATTATCATCGTCCTCGAAGTCCGCCATGAATATCGTCTCCTCCTCGGGGTCCTCGATCAGGTATTCTTCATCCGGTGTCTCGGTCACATGGATGTTCGTCTGTTTCGAGGCCTGATACAGATGATCAGGGTATGTGGTCCTCAAGACCGAGGCCACATCCTTCTCCTCATAGCTCTGCCTTGCTGCTGCCATCACCACTGCCTTTTTCTCATGCGACAACTTCAGGAACCTAATCAGCAAGTAGCCTCTCGCAACTGAAGGGAATCGGACCCCTTCCGATTCAGTAGCTACGAATGCCCCAGTGTAGGTGGCTGTTGATTCTGCCTTTTCGATCCGAAGAGCGAAGATACAATCGAGCACCTTACCAAGCTTATCATGGATGGATTGTTCAGGAAACCTTTCATCAAGCACCTAGAACAAAAGGTCGTGACCTCCTGGCCCTTCAATGTCATCCATTAAGATGGAATCGAACGTAGGCAGGGTAGTTCCATCCAATAAGGTGTAGAGGAGGCTGCCATGGGTGTCTTCGGAAATCCCCTTGGCCTTCTGTACATTCAAATATGCTCTATTCCATCTTCGCCGGCGCCGGTAATCAATTTCAGGATCTGTCCCATCGCCCGAAAACCTCTTCACCGATGCTTCCGACTTTCTCCTCCATCTCCAGCCGCCATCACTCAGCTTTCGTCCAAGCGGGCCCGGTCTTGCCGGGCTCCGCTACCAATTCAAACTGGCCGCTCTTCTCACAAACACGTGTTGCTCCTACTACACCCACCACAGCCTTTTCCCTATGGCTCAGCTTCACGGACGGATTCCTACCACCGGTCATCGGTGGTCTATCGCTATTGAAGCTAAAAACAACGATCATTCATAACACCTACACACATGCATAACGACTACACGAAACGAAGTCGTTTTCACAGCACTCGAAATCGATCAGCTCGAAAAAGAAGGATACCGCGCGCAAGCGGCAAACGGCTCATCCTTTTCGTAAGACAAAATCCTACCCGTTTTTAAATAGAAACGATTACGATATACGAACCTATAAATCTAAACTCCCCTCAAAAGCAAACAAACCAAATAACATACAATCATCTTTATACCAAGAAAATACCTATAAAACAAGTATAAAAATAAATACCGTTTTAAGATATAATATCTATCATAAATGTTTAAAAAAAGGCCATAATACGCTAACCGCATGCCAAAGAGCGACGACAAAACAAAATCGAACTTACGAAGAAAAAAAAAAGAAAAGAGAAAGAAAAACGATAGGAGGAAAACAAAGAAGAAAGGGGAAAAGATGCGAAAAAAGGAGGTAAAAAAAAAAGAAGAAATAAAAAGAAGGGAAGAAAGGAAAAAGGATCTTCGATCTAAATATTCAGGGATTAAAATTTACACCCGATCGAAAGAAATCTTATTATCGCAAAAATAACTCCAACTAGCTTCACTAACTTTCGTAATTTAAAAAAAATCATCAAATAATATTAAAATGTTAAAATTATAGAAATCCAATTATATAATTTACTTTATTTAGATACTTTATATTAATAATTCAAACATAAAACAACTATATACAATCATTACTTCATATCTATCATTAAAAAAACCTAAAATTAAAGGTTTTGAAAAATTCGATTAAACCTCATATGACGTACCAAGCGCCTTATTTGGGGTATTACGAAGCTCGATCTTGCTCCATCGGCGCGTCTGCTGTTACTTATGGCACAGAAGGGGGTGGCGAAAGCTAGGTAGAAACAACGCTGGGGCTCTTTAGGCAGCAAAAGCGTGGCCGAGAATTGCAACATGCCATGGCCAAGGGAAAAGGAGAGTGCCAACAGCGAATAACACAGCCAACACACAGCAACACACAACCACCCCAGCAACCGCAGCAGCAGCAACAGCCACAACAACAATAACTATAACCAGCAGCGGCAGCGGTAGCAAGCAGAAGCCACCAAGTAGCAGCAGAAGCAGCAGCAGGAGTAGCTAGCAAGCAGCAGCGCCAGCTACCAAGCAGCAGCAGCAGCAGCAGCACAAGCAGCTACCAAGCAGCAGCAGCAGCTACCAAGCAGCAGCAGCAGCAGCTACTAAGCAGCAGCAGCAAGCAGCCAGCAGCAGCAGCATCAGCAGCAGTAGCAGGGAAAGAGTGAGCTTTCCTTAGAGTCTTTCGTGCCCCAACATTTGGTCTCGAACAATAGCACATATAGGTGCTGCCTGAGTAATTGTAGAAGGGCGACGTGGAAAGACAGATATGATATATCTGTTTTTTCCACGAATAAATGCTGACGATGCAGCCAGCAGCGGTGTGCATGATTGACATCTAGTGGTTGCATGCGAACATGTGTCAGCGACCGAAGACTCCGTCGCAACGCTTGTGCATGCTCCCTGTCGCTCGAACATGGAACGCGGACTACCATGAGTGAAGCAAACAGCCCGTTCAAACATCTTACTGGGTTCTGTCATTCATGTGTGTAGTAAGTATCATCTTTTGATCTGCATGGATAGCGGATAGTGCATTCTGATTTGTAATTTTGGGGTACAAGCTTCTTACTACTCTCGATTCTAACGAATAGGCTTTCTTCAGCACCAAAAGCAGCCAACAACCCCAAACAGCAACAGCAGCAAAACGGAGCAAACAACAAGCAGCAGGCAGCCAGCATCCAGCAGCAGCAAGCATGCAAGCAGCAAGCAGCAGCAACCAGCAAGCAGCCAAGAGCCAGGCGCAGATGAGATGCCGGCAGCAGCAGCAGCGACCAAGCAGCAGCAGCAGCAGCAGGTACCGAGGAGGAGAAGGGTTTGAACCCCGCGAGGGGGGGGGGTATAGTCCTGATATATCAGGTAACAGCACTCAGGTCCTGGGCTCCCACCCTCCTTGCTAAAGCAAGACAGACTCCAGCTAGCTACAGCTAGCTTTCGTGACATGACAGTTCCGAAGCGCACCAGAATCCTCACCTCCAACCCTGCCACATGTCTTCACCAGTCGCCGTTTCGAGTGCTAGCCGTATGCGAAAGCAGAAAGGTTAGAAAATCTCGCAAACGCTGGCGTTTTGCGCTCTTGCGTGCACAAAGCCCTTTTTTAAGTCAAGCATGAAGATGTATAATCCCCCTTCCTTCAAGACGGACCCAAGGTGTGAATTCATTATTGGAAGGCCTTTCTTTCCTTTTCTAGTGAGAACAACGACCACAACCACAACCACAACCACAACCACAACCACAACAACAACAACAAGTCTCACCTATTTGCCCCTGTCGCCTGCCACTGAACCCTCTGCTGGCCCGCTGTCGGGCATAAGCCCCTCAAATATTTAAGGCTATACGTGGTCTGATCCCTTTTTTCGCTCTGCCCCAGCAGCACCTGGGTTCGCTATTCGCCCTGCCCAAACCACCCCACGCACAACCCCTATTAACTCAGCTTTCGTAATTTGACGACTCCTTTACGCAACAGAATTTCTGCGACCAAACTCATGATTCGCACGACGACCTTTCCATTAGAAAGATCAAATAGCAAAGCTTCGAGGGAATTCCCTCATGCCCCAAATGCGGTGCATTGGTGATTGTCTTGGATGTGAAACGAGCTGTGCGAGCCAAATGAACACACTGAAAGCAGTGATTGGATTGGCGTTAGTCAAAATCCAATCCCGTCTTCCAAAAAATCATCATGTCGAGGGAGCTTTCAAACTGCGCCTCTTGCTTGAGCTTGCTTCCTGCTTCTGTCTCAGGCCCTAAGCTGTCAGGGAATCCAAGCAACAACCGACACCAAATGCCAAAGTGCACTCTGAGTTGCTGTGAATTGTTTCCTGAGTTCGATTTTGATGGCCACAACCATATCGAAGCTCAATATTTGTGTTGCCAAGCTGCAATATTTGGTCCAGGCTCATCTGTGCTATGACCATGTCGACTTTGTGAAGTTCACCACGAAGTCTCATCAAACCAGACCTGAACAAAATTAGCAGAAACGTGTCTAAAGTGAGTGGTCTTTCCAGAATGGCAAGAAAAGGCCCATGCACAAGTTCGGAGAGAGAGACCGTTCCATCTTCTTCCTTGGTCACAGGCCGAATCGGCGGGATCAGCACAAGCCTTGCCAAGATGCCGTGTTGAAGGCTTCGAAAATTCCTGATCTTGGCTCGACGCTCCTTGGATCGCTCCAACTCAACAGGCTTAACAGAAGGCACACCTTGGAAACACCTAAGTCCAATTGTCGATTGTCAAGCTCCAATGACTACCCTTCTGCATCTTGGTCGTTCATGCATCCTTCGACAGAATGGCAAGGCGGCTAGCATATATTCCCTGGTCCAAGACTGAACCCGCCTACAAACATAACAAAGCCCAGCAGCACGTCCAAATCATTCAGAATTACCCTTACCTCAAGCAGTTGCAAGATGGAATTCACGTGCCCAGTGCGGAAACCCACTCGTTTGGCACTGAATACCAAGCTGCATCTGGATGCCTCACAAGCTGATTGAACTCCTCTTCACCTCAGCTGTGCTTTGAGGGCCTTTGACCGGTCATCGAGCACTTCTGAGAAGCTGTCCGACGAGACTCACTTCGACATTCCAAATGCTTGCGCGCGGGACTATGTCTTACTTCAATCCAGTAGCTCAAATAGATCTCACCATCTGCGAGAGCATTTGAATTCCTGCAGGAAGACACTCGTTCGACACCGGTCGATTGAACAAAAGAGGCGACAATGTCTCCTCAAGGCTGAGAGAAGTGGCACAGCGGTCCTCCGGCAACGACCAAGATCAAGATGACTTCAGAATTCACCCCATGCCACAACCCATCGAAAACAGAAATAGGTCATGCGGTCATGCTTTAAGTCTATTTGTGCTCCAGCTTCACAGCTGCAACGTGCCGCATTTATGGGCCCTTTGTGAGAACGAGACTTGACTTTAGAAAAACGGACGAAGGACTTGACGTCCACGTCATCGGGGGAGAAGTTTGGGTAGCCAAGCCCTTTCCTACACTACAGTAGTAAAGTCCGAAATTAAAAAACATAAAAAGAAAGGAAAGGAAGAAGGAAGAGAACCCAAAACGAAAGAACAGTTCTTGTTTCTAAGAAGCATTAGTTTGTAAGGGGTAATTGAATCCATTGTCCCTACCCTAAGAAGTTTACGTCCCCAAAAAAGGACCGTGCTCGCTCGCTTCTCCTGCTTCGCAGCTTTTCCACTTGGGTAGATACCGTCATGACAAGCTTGGCAAGCTGTTCTGTCATGTAACTCGATTCGTAGGCTTTCGCATATCTTCGCTGAAGCTCATTCTCCCTCAAGCCATTCCTTAGATGGCTGGCAAAAGAATACATCAAATGCGCACATCTTGACATGCTTTGACAGTTCTTGTCACCAAGTTGGTCGAAGATCAACGTGGCCTCAACAAAAATCGCCGTGATAATATTGAAGAGCCCAAAAATCACCTGTGGAAGTGTCACGACAGGATCTGAAAAAAACATCCCAGCGGTAAGCAAAGCTTTGGCCAAGGAACAACGACCATGGAGCAAGAATAAAACAAGTCAAATTCCACGCCGATACCATCGCTGAAGATCATTGTGAGGGACCGGCCACCTCGTTCTCAAAAGCTCGAACCTTACATTATTTATACAAATCTAGCTTGTCCGGGCTGGTGTGCTTCCATCCCTGGAAAGAACCTCGAAAGCTTTGTTGGGGCTGTTGTCATGAACTTCACCCATGGAAGGAAACAGCCAGAGCGAAACTAGAATATTGCTTTTCAACAGGACACAACATAGTGCGGATCGTGATGTGCACTGAAAGTCTGGCCTTTCGTAGTGCACTCACTGATCATGCAGCGAAAGATGGAGAACATGCAGCCAAAAACGGAGCCACAGAACTCATGTCCATACATATAGTGCAGTTTGCCTTGGCCGTGCAGTAGAACTCATACCAACTAGGGTGACTCAGCAGGAGTAGAAACGGGTTAATCAATAGCGCCCTTGCTCCCAGTAGTGATGCCAGGAGCCCCTAGTAGCTTCTTGCTCCTAGTAGTACGGCCAGGAGCCCCTAGTAGCGTCCTTGCTCCTATATCAAATTAAGATCTCTGGTTGTTCAAGTTTGATTCTTACTGGGTCCTATTTGCTACAGTGCACTTTGCCTTGGTCTTCGTCCACGAACAGCGATCCGTGTGATCTTGTCTTGTCTCGTCTTGTCTAGCAGCAGCCAGACGGAAGCAGCTCGTCCAAACCAAAGTGATCGCCATAATGAGAGCTATAGTCGCCTGCAGCTTTGAGAAAATTAACCAGAGAAAACTCTCACAACTGCCTAATTGCTATCAGGTTGGAGGCCATCGCTACTATGTTGGAGGCCATTGGCCATCGCTATTAGGTTGCCTATTTGCCTCTATCCTGCGCCGTGAAACTGCCTTATCAAAGCAGCCGAAAGAAAGGCTGAAAGCTCAGCTGAGGGGCACTCATTAAAGGTGGCGGTCTGGATTGCTGCCCTGAACCCAAGTGCAACGACCTGGGTGTGGGAACTTGGGTGCTTTATGATTTACATTGGCACCGCAGGAAACAAACAAGGAAGGGAAACAAACTGCAACTGCAGGAACAAGAAAAGCAAACCGCACAAAAAGCACGAGGAATTGGAATGCAAGCAAGCCAAACGCATGAGCGCATACAGAGTACTTTGCCTCTTCCCTTGAAGGACACCCAAACAAAAGGCAATCCCCTAACTGCTGCTAGGTGTCATATACGATGAGAGCGAGGAAGATCATCACCCAAAAGAGTGATCGAACCTTTGTTGACAAAGCTCGTGTGATGGACTTTTGTATCTGCCACTACAGCTGAGGCCACCGCGCTCAAGACGAAACCTCATCAAAGACTGGTACACAAAAGAGAGACACACTCCTCTTCTTTCACAAAAGGATCCCAAGGGCTTCATCAGCAAGGACGCTACTAGGGGCTGCTGGCATCGCTACTAGGAGCAAGGACGCTACCAAAACTCAACAGCTTTGCTCCCAAGCAACCGGAGATCAAATTCGCCAACTCTGCTAGCAGCGGCATCCGAATGAGTTTGGCCAGCCGAGCCATTCGAGCTAATCGCAAACCCCGCAAGACTAGCGCCCCCTTCCTCAGGAAAGTCACCAAGTCAGGAGAAATCATGTCTTGATTGAAAAAGAAGAAAGGTCTAAAGGAAAAAAAAAGAGGAAGATAGGTCTGAAGAAAGCCAAGAGAAAATTCGGGTCTGAAGAACAAATAAGGCAAGGAAGGAAGGAAGGAAGGAAGGAAGGAAGGAAGGAACAAATGAATACAGGTCTAGAGAAAAGCTCCTCAAGTCTGCAGGAAAAATCTTCTGTTGATTCAATATTTTTTTGTTTTGTGATTTCGAACCACTCTTAGTCCAAGGTGCGCCTGTGCTCCCGCACTTGTGAAAATCAAATTTATCAAAATCTCTACCACTGCGACCTCGGCAGAAGAGGCAGTTCACACAGTTACTTAGTTAGACTTGCTCTGTAAACCTGCAGACTTGTTGAGTGCTGTCCACGGGATGTTCTAGTGAGAATATGACATCGATATGCAAGCCAGGCTGCCAACGAAAGGGCAACATCAAAGCAGTTCCAAAGACCTCGTTGCAATCTTTGGTGATCAAAAGGCCCAAAAAAGCAGCAGATGGATTCGGCTAAGACTATTCGCAAAGAGGCAATCCCGTCCCAGGAAATACACAGACGGTGTAATAACCTCAGTTCTTGGTGCCTCTCACAAAAAACCAACAGTTTAAATTTAGAACAACTAAGTTATCCTAACAATCTAGGAACCAAAGCATTAGTGCGAGCACTTCTTCATGGAAGCTCGCCCTGGGGCGGGGGGAGCTTCCTTGAAGAAGCGTGAGCTGTCCTGCGTCCTAGCTAGGAGCAAACTGCTCCGAGTAGCTTACAAGTTTGTCCCTTACTTAATTAAGGGCCAGCAAAAGAAAATAGAAAGAGTAAAAAGACAACTTTTCGGCTCTTCCACAATCCGAGTTGCATAAGACTTGATAAATACCTCCAAATGATGGAACAAACAAACAACTTTTTTAGACCAAACTTCTAGCAGCGCTTCTGAATGCGTCAAACATCACTACTTCCAAAATAAGACTTCGACCCATTCTTCTCCGTGCCTCTGCGACAAACACCAGTGCAACAATCGTATCCACTACGAGCCAGCCAACCCAATCAGGGTTGGTGTCCAAAGCCACACCCATGAAAATGAAGCCTTGGCTGCCAAAAAAAAGGATCCAAAGGGGTACACAAAGGCTCCAACAGCTCAATTCACAAACATGTAAAGCAACCAACACACCAATTCTCTCATGCAACATGAACGAGGATCTATCTTTACCGTAGGGACTTACAGGTCGTTTTTCTTGTGGACCACGTGCTTGCCGATATCAAGTGACTCAGGATAATGGCTGCAGTCGAGACAGCTGTCACAAGATCCACCCATCTTTGGGACGTGGAGACCGGCTTTCGCTTTTTCTCGTACGCCATCAGCAAGGCAGTGGAGGTGCCTGTGGCAGGCATCTCCTCTCCCAAGAGTTCTCGTTGGACGATGAAAAGGTTCAAGACCTTGGTCTGGTTGGTTGAAGCCAAAGGAACCTGATAGGAATAGGCTCCACCCTAGAAGCGGTGGCCTCCAAGCTAATAGCAAAAGGAACCTACTAGGAATGGCCTCCACCCAGAAGCGATGACCATCGTGCTTGTGGAATCTCGCAAGGTACAGGACTCAAAGGACTCAAAGGACTCGGACTCAAGAAGCGAATGAGTGTTCTGTCGGCTTACCAGGGGTCCATCTGTGAGCTTTGGAAGGTCTGAAAGCAGCATCAATTCCTTGGAACTAGGAGCGATCGGACGCAACTAGTAGCTCCTGGCCTCGCTACTAGGAACAAGAAGCTACTAGGAACAAAGGGCATCGCTCCGTTCGTAGCGATGCCAGGAGCCCCTACTAGCTTCCAACCTACCAGAAAAACAACATGCCTTCCTGAGAATGAGATTTCATATGCAATTGCGATGGGTTCATACGAGCTGAGATGAAAGAGGTGCTTGAACCTTGATGTAAACAGATTCCTCATTTCCTTCTGGCTAGGCTCCACGAAGTCATTCCAGGCCAGAACAGGCTGCATATGGCCTTTCTTGCTGCCTTTGTTGAAGACTTTCTCATAGATCCTCTTCAGTTCGAGAACGACCTGGAGCTGCTCCGCGAAACTGAGGCGGAACTCCCTTTGAGTGGGAACTTTTGGTCATCATCTCTGAAGAAGAAAGTACAGATTCACAGAAAATAGTGTTTTAGTCTTGCTTCCAAAGAAAAATACAAATTTTTCTAAGCCGTTGACCTCATCCAGCTCTTCCTCAGATCCCAAAGCTGCCGACTTTTCTGTACTTTCTTTTCTTCTCCAACAACACATTAGTTGAAATAGAAAAGGAATTGGAAACAGTTCAGAAATACATACATTCTTTGAACCCTTTTGTCTTTTCTGGGTTTTATTTTTCTTATCGCTTGAATTGACTCATCCAAACTGAAGCTGTGCCGAGTGGCCGGGCCGAGTGTGATTTCAAATCTAGTTGTCTGCCTCGTTGATGTTCTGGTGGACTTCCCTGTTGATGAAGCCTTCTGCATTGCGCTGGACAAGTCCTTAGAACAAACGGCAAATTTTGCAAATTAGAATTCTTACTAGTAACAAGAAACTAGTAGTTTGGAGGCCATTGCTATTAGGTTGGAGACCATCGCTACTAGGGTGGAGGCCATCGCTAGCAGCTATATAAGTTTCCCAAAAAATCATTAGCGTGAGCTATCCTGCATCCATACTAGTAGCTTAAGTAAGGTACTAGCTACCTCTCCCTTACTTAATTAAGCAGGCGCCTACTGAATTAAGTAGGGAGGAGGGGGAGCGTGCAAAAAAAGGGTCTAACGGTTAGACCTACGGCTCTTCAGACTGAAGTCTTCGGCCAAGCTTCACGACCCATCACAACTTTGACCTTTGGATCTTTGACATTGAAGAGCTTCTCAAGCCTAGGCAGTGCAGATCTGCCATACAAGGCAAAGGACAAAAAGGACACACGAGCCAACAACATTTCATGCTTTTCTAGCAACACACAAGATCTGAGATTCATTTGGCTAGCTCTGCACAGGAAGCGGTGAATGAAAAGCTAAAAATGGGGCGGGCTGCAGCACAAGCACTGAGGCTTTACTTGCTCCCATAAAAACCGGCGTTGCTGAAATCACGTGTCTAAGGAGAGCACCTCTCAATGATTCTAAACCTGGTGGTCGTACTTGCTCGACGACTCCTAGTTTGGCCAACCCATCTCCAACGAAAACAAGCATTGGCTAAGCATCTCCTCTGCATCCGTCCTGAATTTTTCGGTTGCTCGGTTCACCTGCAGGGACGATCTCGGTTCACAGCGCTTGGAACGCACTCCTCATACTGCAAACACTTCTTTGACCAGTCTTCTTGGTGTTCTGACCGTCATGAGGCATTCTGAGGCATGTGGACGACATGAGCCTTCTCCACTTTCACTTCAGCTTCCATGAAGCCACCGCCTTCCAATGTCCATTGCCTGAGTTTTTTGATGGTGCCACAGTCGGTGTTCTACAAACACGACGGAGTCACTGTGGCAGCTGGTGTTTCACAAACAGTTCAGACAGTTTTTGTGCTTCGCAGTGTCTTGCAAAGCATCTGAAACTGCTGTTTGAATCCTTTTTTGGAACACTCTTTGATGACTGTTGATGCCTAGCTGCTGTCGGAGTGAATTTGTTTTCACTCGGCCTGAGGCAAGTGTGCCTACGTCCGAGTCGATGTCCACTTCAAGATATTCTTCCAGCATTGAAGCTGGGATACAAAGAAGCCTGAGCTTAAGAATTCATTGACAAAAGGAAGGAAAAAGGAAACAAGAAGCTAGGAACAAAGGGCATCGCTACGAACGGAGCAAAGGACGCTACTAGGGGCTCCTGGCATCGCTACGAACGGAGCGATCGGACGCGTTGTTCGTATCCGTGAGATACGGTTTCGCCTTTGAAGTGACCACGCGCGTGTTGCATCAGGACTTGGTCGATGCGATGCCGCGAGGTGTTCGCTGAGTTTGGCTGATTCCACGCGGAGCCACGCGGAGTTTGCATATCTTGAACTGCTAAGTCTCTTCTTCAGCCGTCCGCGCTTTCTGCAAAAGTCAAGAAGGTTGACCTTTCCAGTTGAATCAATTAGGGTCTCTGGTTTGCTTTCCCTTTAAGGTGGACACACACACAATACACGCGGGCTCCATTTGGGACCAATTTCTTATGACGCTGCAGATGTGCGCAGTAAGGGTGATCAATGCAAAGTATCTGAGCAGCGTGCTCCGAAGAAAAGGTTCGGAACAAATGAGATCGTGTGTATTGCATGTGATTGCGAATTGAGACTCGCCAAGTTACACATCAGCGCCAGTTTCTCCCCACTCCTGAGAAACAAAATGCTGCTGAGAACTGCTAGGACGTAGTGGCTGTCATGACTGCGTGAATTTCTGCGACCCGATCACCGCTTTCCAAGGCCAGTCATCGCTGATTTGCAATGGTAGGTCAAGCACTTCCTTTCAGGGCAACATTCCGCCCTACACCGGACAAATCCCTAGCTTCTTGCCAGTAAGAAGGCTCCGTTCGTAGCGATGCCAGGAGCCTCTAGTAGCGTCCTTTGCTCCGTTCGTAGCGATGCCCTTCGTTCCTAGTAGCTTCAGGCCAATACTAGGCCGCACCAAATCTGTCCTGCTGTAGCATCGCTGGCTTTGTCTCCCCACTGAAATCCCCGCAGGTGACTGTGACAGTGCACTTGGTAGGTTCATCGTCTGGACGACCTGACATCTTGCACTTTCAGCCTTTCTCAGCTCTCAGTCTGAAAATGAAGCTAATAGCAGTGGCCTCACCCTAAATGACTTCCCTCCTACTAGCAATGAGCCTGCCAACAACTATGGGGTTAGAATTCATGGGCACACTGAAGAGGTCTTACGGCTGTACGCGTCTCCGCCTCGCAAGGCAGGTGCAGCTACTTGACCAATCCCATAGACAGTGGTCCGAACCTGAAGACGGCTGGTTACATGGCTTCCAAATGTGCAGATTGTCACCTTTACAGCTATTCAATTGATAATGATTCTCTCTTCTCATTCTCGACTTGACTGAACATGATGTCATCTGGAATGGGCATTCCACAACAACATCATATGCCTTGTGCAAACTCTCTCGCTCATTCAGATCAAGCAACGAAAGCAATATTCCGATTACTTTCCTTTGAACCGCGACTGCGCGCACTGCGTGTGCTTGCTTGGTGGTCAACTTGAAGTTGCTCGTCGATTTCGGGCTTCTCTGAGATCGCACAGATGGACTCTACTTCGTCTTCCATCTCTAAGACCTCATAAGTCTCTTCCTCGTTTGGAAGAAACTCCTGCAATCAGAGTTTCTGGTAGAATATTTGGAATGGTAAGCCAATTTCTTCCTTTGCTTCAGATTCCTATTTGAGAATTGCTTTCTTTGCCATCTGAAACAGCACAGCGTCACAACGTCCTTGCTGGCGATAGACACCCTGCTCACTCTCTCACTCCCCTTATGATGCGAGTTTCTGCCTTTCAACGATGGTCCGTCCTGGTGGCCACCAAAAGCCACGCAAGAATTTTGCAATGTTTCTAATTGAATTCTAATCCTAGCAATGGCCTCCAATCAGAACTTTCAAAGTTGTGCTTTCAAAATGCCACTTCCACTTTTCCAAATTCTACAAACAACACCTCTTGTCACCTCGGTGAGGTCCTCCGCAACGCTCAAGGAGATGATTTGTTCTTGCAAAGCTGCATTCTGATCTTTGAGCAGCCGTACTTCTTCGTCCTGATACATTCGTGCAACTGGACAAAACTATGCAAGTGTCCACACAAATCATCTTGCCATGTCTGCTTTGCCACTATGAACTTCTGAAAAACCTTGAGTGCACTATAGGCCAGGGCACATGTTGGGCCAGGAGTTGCTGAAGGAGCTCGTGAAATTGTCCCGGCATTCTGCACTCAGGTCTCCATGGCTGGAATTCGACGCAAGAATCTGTGCTCACTCCACTTCAATTTTTCTATTCTCTTGGACACGAGCTCAACACATGGAGCTCGTTGTGTTCAACTTCATGCTCATCTTCTTTTAAACTTCCGTCTTGCTTGTTTTCAAGTCTTGTGGTATGTCGTTCATGTATGTTCACACATCACATGTACCCTCCTCGTGTTTATGGTGCAACGCAGCTAAGAATCGGCGCACGTCGACACAGACAGGATTCATGTCGACGATCAAGGCATCCCTGTCAACGTCATGTGCGTGCTGCCAATTCGCCGTAGCGCTTTTCACAGCTTTGCACCCTTTCCTCCTGGTTCTCCGTGTGAAACCTCACATGGCCAATGTGAGCTTAGGCTTGAACCAGTGCAAACGATCTTCAGGCCTGTTGGGGCCACCGAAGCTACGCAGTGACGAACCGTTCAAATCTGACGGCTTCTGGATCCGACGGCCTCGCCGCAGCGAACGATCTCCCGCTTCAGGTCCGGTCATTCGGGGACGATGAGAAACGCCAGCACACCGCAGCTCGTACCTTGCGCGTCAAGAAACGCCGAAAGGAAAAAGAGGAAGGCGACAAAAAAGGTCTTTAAAGGCCTAAAGAAATCTGAACAAGATTGAGAAACCTCCAACCTAGTAGCGTCCTTGTTACTAAAGGTTTCAATCAAACAAGAAAGAAGGCAAGCGAAAACAAACTTGGCCTTTTGGCCTTCTTTCAGGTTAATAATCCCAGTTCTCATGCCCAAATCGAGGAACATCTTCTGCCCACGTCTGTGTGCATGATTCACAGGCCACAAGCCAACTTCATCTCACAACGTGAATGCCCCACCTGCAGAAGAGCTTCACAAGGGATAAGGGATGTCCCTCTGCTCTTCCCAAATCTTCTCAGCTGTGGTTTGCACCTGTCAAGGATTGGCACGCCACATTTGTCTCAGAACACTCCTCCGCTCTTTTGCTTATTAGAAATCATCATGAGGAGGTCTCCCAGTCATTGTTTTCGCATTTTCGCAGAAAGGACGTCTCAACCCTATCTCATCCTTGAGAGCTGCAATGGCGAATTCGACATTGTGCTGTTTATCCTCCCTTTCAAGTTCGCAAGAACATCTTTTCTACATGCAAATATCTCAACACGAAAGGCCTGGAAACTTGAAGTACGGACTACCAGCATAGGGCCTCAGAGCCGAATCTGGCAATTGGCCAAAGCAAAAAATACAGTTATTTCATGGAATTTATAATTTTTATCAAAGGAAATTTAGAGGAACTTCCGTGTTACGAACATTTACATCACTCATCGTACACCACTCATCATATCATACACCACTCATCATACACCACTCAATATACACCAGTCATCATACACCACTCATCATACACCACTCGTCATACACCACTCATCATACACTACTCATCATACACCACTCATCACACACCACTCGTCATACATCACTCATCATACACCACTCATCATACACCACTCATCATACACCACTC